GACGCCTCATTGAAAATAAAATGCTTATACTCAGTTCCAGCTAGATACTGTTACCAGCCGAAGGCTGAGCCCCATTATTAAAAACGAAGGTCCACAACTAGTGTTAGGTCTCGAGGAGGTAAAAAAAAAAAAAAAAAAAAGTTGCCATCTAGTCCATTCTGACTCATAGCAACCCTACATTCTCCTTGATGGATCAGTGGAAAAGGAAGGAACTCCCTGTCAGTGGTATTTAATTTGTGTCTGAATACCTCTCACAATGGTCTGGGACCACTTGAGGGTGTCTGCCCATTCTGTGGAAAACTCAGCCTCTGTCTGTTTGGCGGGCCTGTGGCCAGCTGCCTCCTGGTCTAGCCCCACTGTTGCCTGCCCTGTGCACACCACACATGGTACCCCATGCCCACCAGGCCTTGGCACCTGCTTTGCCCAAGTGGGTGAGCTTGGTTCTAGGTTCCGCCATTTCAGAAAGCTACAACAGGGAGAAGGATATGAGAACCAGCTCTGGTGAGCCCTTCCTATGTGACAGACACCGTGGTAGGTGCTTTATACAGATTATCTTAATCTTTTCTAAATTCCAGTCATTCAAGTACCAGCTTCATGTTTCCTGCCCTATCAGTACTGTTTATGTACTTAATACTTTTCTTCAAATTGATTTTCCTTTAAAAACATGCACAACTTTATTTGCAAAGGGAATGTTATATTATTTCCATAAATCACAGGGTTTGATGTGCTGGTTATGTTTTTTTCTAACATGCTTCAATTGTGAGCTACTAAATAATAAATGTTCATCCATATACCACCCAAAATCATCTTACAGACTACCAATTGCACATGTGCCAGCCTTTGGGAAATACTGTAGCATCTTGGTTAATGCTCACACATCCCTGTATGAAAGGTTTGCTTTTCAGATAAGAAGATGGAGGCTCAGAGTAACCATGCTCCAAGTTCCACAGGTGGAAAGGGTTGGGGCTGAGATTTGAATCCAGGTAGCCTGCCTTTAAATGCCTAACCAGTTGCCATCAAGTCAATTCTGACTCATGGTGACCCCATGTGTGTCAGAGTAGAACTGTGCTCCATAGGGTTTTCAATGGCTGATTTTTCAGAAGCAGATCACCAGGCTTCTTCTGACTCATCTCTGGGTGGACTTGAACTTCCAACCTTTCACTTAGCAGCCAAACGTATAAACCATTTGTACTACCCGGGAACGCCTCAAATGCCTAGTGTCTTTCAAAACACTAGTGCTTTTCAAATGCATTTTTTAAATCCAAAGAATCTTTTAAAAATGAAAACCTGTGTGCAAATTCAATACATAAAATAGATAAAACTGGAAACTTTTTAAAAATTGAAATGGAGGTGGGGAGTCCAGAGTTCCTTCTTTTGGGTCTTCCCTTTCCAAACCCATCCTATAATGGCCTTTGAGAACCCTTTTTAGAAGCCCTGAACTCTGAGGAACATTATTTAAAAACCACCTGGCACCACCCTGCCCCTTGACTCCATTTAATTCAATTTTCCTTGTGAGCCAAACTCCTGAAGGGAGACTTTTGGGTCTATGTTATTCTTTCTGGCTGGGCATCACCATCTTGGACCATCACCATCCTGAAATCTTCACCGGCCTTCTAAGCCTTGCTCTAACCTCACCACCATTCCTTCAGTGAACATTGCTGTCTAACCTGTACCCAGTATTTTAGAGGACATAAGGGATTGAGATGGATGGAATGTAGTTCTTGCCTTTGATGCGTTCCCAGGCCAACATGGGAGACACAGACAGACACAGCCAAGTACAATAAGGGTTTGAGCTGCACCTGCTCACCAGAATATCACTTCTGTCTTCAGTTCCTTCTCTCCCTCTGGTGCTTGGATTCATCTTGTGGTGGGCAGTACCCTGAGATGGGCCAGCCAAGAGGCTCTTGTGGTGCTGGCTTCCCTCTGCATTGTGATGCTGGAGGTCTTGTCTGACTCCTTACTCCCCACTGTGGTTCCTGGGCTACTATTCCCTTAAGCTACCATTGTCTGATCTAAGTCTGACCTCACTCAGGTCCCCAAATCCTCATCCCGGCAGAAAGACCAATTTATGACTGTCAGCATCTGCAATATGAGACTCAGCCTGGCTCCTGGCTTTAGCCTTCTCCTCCCCTCATTGCTGAGTCTATTTGACCTTTCGGACCTAGAGACTGTCCTCCCACTGAAATGGATATCCCCAAAAGGCTTTTCTCTGCCAAGAAAAGAGGAATCTGTTGCCCTAAATGTATGGAAAGATCCTGGCTGAGTTCCAACAAATTTTAAAATATCCTAAGGGACATTGAGCCTTGTTGTGTCCCTTAACCCAACCATTTTCCCTCAGTCCGGCTATGGTCCTGGTCCTTTGTGAGATTCTGCCATCTTGAGAAGGTCCTGATATGTCCCCAGAATATCACCCTTGGGGTCTCTCCTATGCTGTGGGGCCAGGTTTTAGTTAATCACAAGTTCCAGGAAGTTTCTCCCTTGCTATGCCCTATGGCTGGGCCCATTAGTAAACTCAAAACAACTCAAGTCAATTCAAGTAAAGTCAACTCTGATGAACTCTACTCGGATCAAGTCAAGTCAGTCAACTCAACTCAACACATACTGTAGACCTCTCTGTCTATTTCACACTATCCTGAGCCAGACTCTAGTTGGGAGAAAGCTGAAGCCAACATCTAATAGGAGTTTTCTGTTTTGAACCTGGTTTCCAGACTCAAAATTTTCTTTGATCTGAGGGAAATCCTTGTACAAAGGGCTTGAGAAAGAGCCTCCTTTTCTGGCCTGGAGACGGTTCAATTAGCAGCCTAATCCTGGGGTTGCTCCCCACGACTTCTCAAGCCACCCTCACCCCTCAGGTATGGCCTCAAGACCTCAGTTTCCAGAGTCAGTTGATCCCTCACCCTTTAGAATCTGGTTTATATGGATCCTGAGCCATTCATTCATTCATATGTTCACAAATCTGCATTGAGCGCACACTTGCTTAAGGCCAGGCACCTTAGAGATATTGTCTCATTTAATTCTCACAGTAGTCAGTGTGGATGCAGAACCAGTAACTGGCTAGCCAGAACTTTAACCCAGCTCTAATTCCACAGTCTGTGCTCCTTCCATCATATCCCATTGTCTCTTATAACAACTGAATAGAATCTTTAATAAAAGGTGGAGATCACTGAACGCTTAAACAAACACATTCTATATGGAGGGAAAGAGTGGATTAATGAATATTTTATGTAAGGCAAAGTCCCACCTGACCAGTTTATTAGAATTCTTTGAGAAGTGAACTATATAGGGAGATAAAGGGTGACTTTCACAAAAAGCCTTTGTTAAGTTTCCATACCAAAGCCTATTAATAAAATCGATTCATTATAGAATTGGGCAGAGGTGGGTGGTGAGTGGGAGGGAGTCTATTTTTGCATAGATAGAGAACTGGCTTAGAGACAAGAGAGAAAAGAGATAACTGGGTGCTTTTTCAAATGCAAGACTAGGGTTCCCCAGGAGCTGATGCTGTGTTTGGTCTTATATAACGCTCAGTACACATGCACCGAGCACCTAGTCTGCGCAAGTCCTGTGACAAGCATGGGGGATACCAAAAAATGGGGGGGCCCAGCCCCTGTCCTGGAGAAGCCCAAGGAAGAAAATGCACAATGGTATCTCCAAGATTTTGGAGGACAGGAAGCTCCTCAGAGAGCTAAAATACCAAGACATTGGAAATAAAACTGAGGAAGGTGGCTGGGGAAGTCTCGCTCCTCCACTAACTTGCTATGTGATGCTGGGCAAGCCCCTTGCCAGCTCTGGTTCTCCATTTCCTTTCCCATACAATGAAATAATTGGACTGGATGATCTGAAAGCGGGTAGTGCTCTTGGTGGAGGACAATGACTTGAAATAAGACTTCTCCATTTCCTGTGGCCAGAATGTTCCCTTTTGTCCTGTGATGAGGTGGCTTCTCTCTCTCTCTGATTTGTGAACAATGGAGATGAGGCAGAGAGCCATGAGGGCTGTGATGCTGGGGCTCAGAGCCCAGCCTGGAATCCCTTAGCGGCATTTGCTTCAAGTGACTCAGCATCATAAATAGCTACCATCTGGATGAGCAACGATATCTATAGCGATCGAGCGATCCCTATATCCACACACACTCTTTCTCTGCAAATATGTGGCTCACTGCATGCTAAATACGAGGTGACCTGGAGACGTTCCTTCTCTTAAACGACTATTTGGTATAAAACTCAAGGCTGTTTATTTAAAGAAACAAGTTTACAACTCTGCACGTTGGATTACTGGCAGTGGGTGGCGGGGAAGAGGCAATGTGGCTGAAGGGACGCTGGGTGCGATCCGAGCTTGGCAGGCCACCTGGAAGAGGAGCCGAGGCTGACTGCCTGGCCCTTCACCCTTCTGTCTGAAACAGCAGGGGGTAATGGACATCACAAACAAGGTCCTTCAGATACCAGAGGGAGGGAGGGAGGGGCTTGAACTCATTAGCGCAGAAAGCTGCCATTCAGCAGAAAGAGCACAGGTCCTGACGGTGACTGACAAGAGCCAGGTTTCAGCCCTGCCCAGCCACTGATTGTGGGCAACTCATTCCTCCATTCATCAAACACGTACCAAGCACCCATGTTGTGCAAGGGACACTTGGGAATGCAGCAAGAAAAACAAGAATGGAATCCAGGCTTAGCCATCTACCAGCCATGTGTCTTAGGACAAGTCCTTTTCCCGCTCTGAACCTCAGTTTACTCCTTTGTTAACTGAGGATAATAATATCTACCTAAGGCTTTTTTTGTGGGGAGGAGGAGCATTGAAAAAGATAAAGCACAAGAAAGCACTTCTCTATTGTAAACGGCTCTTAAGATGCAAGATAATACCATTCCACCAATCGACCTACTGATCCATCTCACTGCAATGTAGGGGATCCCAGATGGTAAATGCCATCATGATGCCCTTGACCAGTGCGCCAGAGGTGGGGGGGCATCTGAACGCTGCCCATTGGTGTGATGATGGGCAGTAGTCCTACCTTTGCTTCCTGGATGGGCTGGGATGCAGGTGCCTTCAGTCAACGAGCAGAGCAGAGGGCATGTCAGAGGTGGCACAGCTTCCTGAAGGAAGAGAGAGGACATGGAGCGGTGAGGAGAATGCCTGGGGCAATTGGCTTCCTGAAAGGGGCCAAGGCCCTGGCCTCAGTGAGGGCAGGATTTGTCCTGATGCCCCGGCCTTTCCTAAGGGCACCACTGCTTGTCTTGATTCCAGCAAGGGGCTGGGCTGCACAGGGCCCTGGCTCAGCATCAGACCCAACCCCTGGTCCTCGTCTCACATAATTTCCTTGAATAGCAGTTGTCTATCTGGTTCACTGGTTCAGGCAACACTTGTATCATAAAACTGACCATACTGTTTCTGACTTGTTGGTGGCTTTAAATGTGACTTCTCATGGGTGTCGATGGACAGGATTTGTTGTAAGTCTTATCTGGGTTTGAACTCTGTCTTTGGGGAAATTCATTACATCTCTCTAAGCCTCAGTTTCCTCATGTGTAAAATGGGGTTTCCAATACTACCAACCTCATACAGTAAGTGCTACACAAATGCTTGTTATTATTATTATTACTAATGTTGTTGCTGAATGAGATGAAGTCTGTGAAGACATCTATTACAGTAAAACCTGTGAGAGCCAGAACTCAAAGGGACTGCCTTGTTTTTCTGGGTCTTGCAAGTTTTCCACCTTTGACAAGGTACAGCCTTACTGCTTTTCTATCACTTGTTTCAGGGAAAAATATTTGAGTTTTCCTTCTCTGACAGGTTTCCACCTTACACAGATTCCAGCATTCCCAGATTTTACTGTATATTGTAGCCCCTCAAATTTTAGTTACTTTCCTCTGTTTTCTTTTAGAGGACACCGAGTGTCCTGGATAAGGTAAGAATTGGTTCTTATATGACTTTGTTTCCAGAGCCTCGCACAGATGTGATATAGAGTAGGTACCCAGTGGGTGTTTGTTGACTGAGGCAATGCTCTACAAGTTTACTAGGTATGCTTCCGCATACATAGGATTAGTAAGACAGAGGTCCCATTGCTATTTTATTGATGAGAACACAGGTGCGGAGGTGGGGATATGACTCACTCAAGACCACACAAGGTGAGCGTGGAGCTGGCATCGGAACCACAGTCCTTGCTCTTTCCACCCCAGCCCTCTCTCTGCTGTAGCCTGGGCCTCCCTCTCTCAGTGTTTGCTGGGACCCAGGTCTAACCTGCCACCTTCTCCCCCACTGCCTCCATGTCCTCCTCCTCCAAATGTCACTGCCCTGCTCATGGTGGCTCTGGGAAGCAGAGCTGATTGGCCCATTTGCAAAGTGGGCTGGGGTTCAGGGGAGTGAGAAGTTTGCCTCAGGTCACAGAGATGGTGTGGACAGAGCAGCAATTCCAACAGAGACCAGCTGGACTCCAAGCCCCCTCTGTCTCCTGGTAGACTTCTGGGCCACCCTGGATGACACAGCAACCTGTCCCCCTGGGTCTCAACAACACAGCTGTGCTTGATTTTCTTCGTGGTAGCCCTCCCCCACCCCATCCCTAGGATAGGAGCTCCATGAGGGTGGGACCTGCTGTTTCCCGACCTGGCCCTTAGCACGACTCAGAAATATCTGTTGAATAAATGAATGAATGAATGAGTGGATGGGTGAATGGCTGTGCCAGGCCACGTTCTAACTGGTGGTCCAGCAAAGGGCAGGTACAATCCCTGTTCTCAGGGAGCTGAGTATATTCAAATTTAAAGCCAGCAACTAGATTGCAAACAGGACAAACATCGGGCGGTAGAGGCTGGAGATTGAGAGGAGGGGACACGGGGAGGGAGTATATGTGGGTTGGAGCCTGCTGACTGCCCAGGAAATGGGCATCTCAGAGCAAATGGCCTTCCTGTCGTCAGGCAGGGCAACCGTATGCTGGGTCGGGGAGGCTGGCCTTTAGGAAGGCAAGGAAAGAAAGCTGGGTGGTGTAATTTTGTTTAATGTCTACCTACTGCTGAGTCCCAAATAGCTAGCCCATCTTGCCACATTTGTTGCTGTTAGCTGCTGTCGAGTCGGCTGCGACTCATGGCGACCTTATGTACAACAGAAGAAAATGTTACCCAGTCCTGCACCATCTTCATGATTGTTGGCATGTTCGAGTCCTTGTTGTGGCTATTGTGTCAATCCATCTCATTGAGGGTCTCCCTCATTTTCATTGACCCTCTACTTTACCAAACATGTTGTCCTTTTCTAGAGATTTGTCTTTCCTGATTGAAAGTCTTTCCTGTACCGAGAAAGTGAGTCAAAGTCTCGCCATTCTCACTTCTAAGGAGCATTAGATACTTAATTGTTTGAACAAATGAAGGGTGGGCACAGGGCATGTCAGGGTGACTTAGGAACAGGGGCTCATAGGAGTGGAGCGGTAATGATCAGTATTACTCCGACTTACACTGGAGCGGGGCTTCCTGTTGCTATTCTCACTGTGCAGGTGAGGGCTCCACTCAGCACGTATTATTACTGAGCGTCTGGTTGGGTGCTGGTGGTGGAGACAGAACCAGCAGGGCAATGACTGCCATTTCCAGTTTATCTCCTGTGTGCCATGCCCTTCACACCTGCAATATTCTAATGCTCAAGTTAACCGGGCCAGGCCAACGTTGAAATCCCAATCATACAGACGCTGGCACCGAGGCTCTTTTGTTGGTTGAATCCTGAATCACCCTGTGGAATTGGAGACCCTCCCTCAGCACCTCCCTCAAATCTCTATGGCCAGTCCTTATCTTTGTCCTAGCTGCAGCGCCAGCAACGTCCTCCTCTGTCACACAACTGCCCCCAAACTGTGTCCTAGCAACCTCACAGCCCTCACCTTGGCAATGCCACCTTCTGCCCTCTCCTCCTTTGGTTGGGCAGGCAGGAAGTCACCTCCTGACCACTAGACCTGACCAGGGAGCCATGCTGCAGCCTGCTCTCCTTGGGCAGATGGGAGGCCAGCCACTTAGATGAGGGTGGTGGCTGGGGACTATGGGAAAGACTTTGGACCAGGAACCTTGAGGGCTGGACTCTGACTTCAGTGCTGATACTCTGCCTGAGGGACCCTGGGAAAGTCTCTTTGCCTCCAGTTTTCTCTTCTGTACAACAAGGGAGTTGGACAACACCATCTCTAAAGTCTAATATTGACTTATTCCATCTTTGATTTTGCCATGGTTATTGGTTGGATACTCTGTTGTTGGCATGGATTTTGGTATCCGACTCCAGAGAGTTCAGTCCTGGTTAACCTGGACCAGTCCTTTCACCCCTCTGAGCTTAGATTTTTCATCTGTAAAATGGACATATTTCATGCTACTTAACCCAGAGGGATGCTATGAGTCAGCGGGAATCGTATAAACGAAAGGGCTTTATAAATGGCAAAGAGCTACATAGATTCTGCCTATTTGATTTTATTTATCACATGTGCTATGCTCATCAACAATTCACTGAACCAACAGTAACAATAAAACAACAACAAGCATGTACTGAACATTTACTGTGTAACAAACATTTTGCTGAGTTATTTTATTCATATTATCTCATTTTATCTTCACAACAATCATTTAAGGTACTTGCTGTTATTTAAAATTATTCCCATTTTGCAGGTGAAAAATAGAGGCCTTGTATGGTTAAGTATAGGAAGAAGTTGGCCAGGCTCCCTGGCTTTAAAGCTTGATTTGAGTTTTTTAATTTGAATGAGGTGGTCACTTCAGGATCTCTTCTCTCTCTCCATCCTGGGTTTTTCTTTATGCCTGAAGCTGGAGTCTAAAGAGGGTTTGGAATATAGGGGGTGGCACTAACACTTACCAAGCATCTTCTATGTGCCAAGAATTGATCAGCTTCTCAGACTTTAACATGCATGCAACCACCTGCGGAGTGGGAGGCGTTGTTAAAATGCAGATTCTGGCTCAGTAGGTCTGGGGGCAGCCTGAGACGCTCCAATTTCTAATAAGCTCCCAGGGGATTCTGATGCTGCTGATCTGTCCACCACACACTATGAGTAGCGTGTTTTTGTTGTCGTTGTGTGCCACTGTGTCAATTCTGACACAGTAAAACTGCCCCATAGGGTTTCCTAGGCTGTAATCTGGTGGTGCAGTGGTTAAGGGCTCTGCTGCTAACCAAAAGTTTGGCAGTTTGAATCCACCAGCGGCTCCTTGGAAACACTATGGGGCAGTTCTATTCTGTCCTATCAGGTTGCTATGAGTTGGAATTGACTTGATGAAAATGGGTTTTTTTTGGTTTTTGGTAATCTCTACACGAGCAGATTGCCAGGTCTTTTCTCCTGTGGTGTGCCTGGTGGGTTTGAACTGCCAACCTTTTGTTTAGCAGCTGAGTGCTTAACCAATGCATCACCAGGCATCTTTAGCGTGCTGCTAGAGGACTTCAAACATTATCTTATCAAATCCTGTGGACTACATTTTATAAGGTCCTGGTCCCCAAGTGGGGAAATTGAGGCTCGAGAGTCAATGTAACTTACTCAGGGTCACACAGCACACAAGGGGTGGGTTTGAATCTAGGCCTGTGACACCATGGGGTGACCAGGGGTGGCCCTTGCTCTGGATTCTATCTACAGCAGAGCCAGGCAGTGGTCTCAGAAGTCCCTGCTGGGAACTGTTTCTTACTTTCAGCTCACCCTTGAGCAGACGGGCTTCCCAGAAGCCTGCTCCCAGAGGGAACAGGGCCCTGGCCGGGGGTCTCTGAACTGGAGTGACAGTATCAGGGCAAGGACTAGACGCTGCACCCCACGTGGCTCACCCTAACCCCGGCTCTGTTGGATTCTATCTTTATTTAAAATGTTGATATTCTATTCATCATGGATTTTTGCACCGATTTTGTTTCATAAAAGATATTGCATAAAATATTACTTATCTTGATCACCGGGGATTTGAGCACCTTCTTAAAATTTGCACCTGAGGAGAATGCCTCCTTACTTGTCTCACCCCAGCCCTAAGTCTTTCCCCTCCCCGCTCCAGCCTCAGGGCATTAGGATGCTGCCCACAAGGCACCGTGGGGTCCACTGTAGCCAGGCGGCCAATGGATTTACTTCCTGCAGAGACATCCTCTCCCTGCCCTTTGGCTGACC